GCATAGATTATAAAATAAGATAAAAGTTCCATAAATTTATTATATGCAGAATTGATATGCTTATCCTCAAAAACTTCCTTAAAAGTAAGCTTTTTATACATTCATGAAACATATTAATGTAGTATAAATTATAATTCCTTTTATACTCCCAAATATCATTTAACTTTTTTCTCTGTTTATGTACATCAATAGATAATATTTGCGCCGATTCTCGATCTGATAAATATAACTTTTCATCTATCACTGGACCTCAACAAATTCGATCAAGCGATTTCGCAAAAGTGTTAAAAAATTTATATTTTAAAAAAGCTCTGGTTAATGTTTTTATTTCACATTGGGCTACTGATGAAATGATGCCATTTATTGGCAATAAAACGATATACATCAATTTCAGAAAATGTCATTCTTTCACTGTTGATAATTCCAACAAATAAAAGATATAAATTTCTTCGCAAACTTCCGTTAAATAAATACAATGATGTGTCTTACCTGGATTGAAGAGCACCTCCCGCCCTCCCTCAATTGCATGCACTAACTCCGTCACCACTAGCTTAGCGGTCAGCCGCCGTAGAGTCTACATTACCTGAAGATGCCTCGTGTAGAGGCGAAACTCGTGTCGTATTATCGTCGATGGTGTGTCTTACCTGGAATAGTGGTGGTGGGAGTAGTGGTGCTGGAAGTAGAGTGGTATTGTATTTATTTAGCGGAAGTTTGCGAAGAAATTTATATTTTTTATTATAATGGATTTCCGCAAAGTAACGCCTGATTCTATCAATTCCAACAAAGTTGTCTTAAGGGTTGATGAAGATTTATCATGTCTGGCACACGAGAAAGCAGATACGAAGATGGTATACCATACATGTAACATCAACTATCCAGCAAATAGTAATAAGCAGTGCTGATACCGATATTGCTGCTATAATGCTTGGTAACATGCATCACCTTAAAATTGATTCGGTTGTTCGGATGCTTACGGGTACTGGCAATAATTTAAGATATGTGGACTTAACCAAAATACATGCAGAGTTGGGACAGTTAATTTGTCGGAGCTTACCTAGATTTCATGCCATCACAGGTTGTGATTTTAATGCTGCGTTCTTCAGAAAAGGAAAATTAAAACCATGCAAGACACTAAAAAATTATCCAGAGTACCAGGAAGCTTTCAACAACTTCGGCAACAGCGAATTAATTGAAAATTTAGATCATCAACAAAACATCTTCAATATTATACAGAGATTTATATGCAATGTTTACAATGTCCCTAATGTAATTGATGTTGATGCCACTAGACTCCAAATATTCATCGACTCGTTTACAGTCTCTGATGTAAATCAAGCTTTTGACCGAAAGAAGTTGCGAAATTTTGACGCTAGCAATCTACCACCTTGCAAAAGCGAGCTAATGAAGCAATTTCTGTGAGCAAATTATATATGTACCGTTTGGAATAACGCTCATCTGAAAAATCCAACCACATATCAATCAGACAATAACGGCTGGGTATTGCAAGATGACAAATACCAGTTCAACTGGTTGAAGGGGATCAACTACCAAGTTGTGTTAGTAATTCTCTCAAAATGAATTATGTAATGAATCAGGTATGTGATCATTGTGACAAATTATTGTACATAATTTTTTTATTAATAATTGTATTAACTTTCTTTTTTTTTCAGAAACTGACGAAAAAGGCGAAAAAGACGACGATGACGACGACGACTAAATTATTTTTTTACATGTAGTAGTACTTATTTTGTATTTTATAATATTAAAATAACACTTTTTACTTTATATAACATGGCTATTAACATAATAAAATATTTTTTTATTGGATATCTTAAAAGCGTAATCGACTAGGCACTCGCGCTCGCACCTACTGCGGATTTTCTATGTATCTGGCAAGATGTAAAAACCATTAAAACTGTCCAGCTATTTGGGTAATATTTTTTATAGGTCCCCAAGTAACATATATAAAATTTATCTTTTATGCTATAACGAAAGTATAATTATAATATATTAAAGTTTCGATGTGTCTGGCGGCTGGTAGCAACTGTCATAAGTGTCCGGCAATGGATGACGAGATTTCTAAATATATCCCGAAGAAAATATAAAAAATTGAGCTTTATACTTTAACGAAGTTAAGTTAGTATTTTATACGCCTTTACTACCTGTTACCTGCCCAAGTAACCACAACCCACACTCTATAGTCGTTCTCACCTGTGTGGGGGACATGCACAGAAAAACTTTCAGCTTTTATAAAATAACGAAGGTCTGGCCGTCGTGGGCTCTTGCTCTATAAGACTTACATTCATAATATTTAAACAGTTACTTCTGAACTAGGAATAACTTTCGGATCTTTTGTCATATAAAATATTTGTTGGATGATTAAGTTTATTAGAGTTATTTGATCTGCATCATTGCTTCATTATTAATTATTAAATATTAGTTTTAACTCTAACAAGTTCTTGTAAAATGTAATGAATGCAGTTATTCCTTTCCTAAAAAATAAAATTTACCGTCTTTATTTAAAGTGCTTTTTCTCCAAGGCCAGTTAGTTTGATTCAAGTTGTACATTAATTCCAAAGAAACAAAGTTAAGGACAGAAACTATTTGGGATTAATCAATTCACAACCAAATACTTCTATTAAAGACTCAATACTACTAGACCAGCACTGCAGCCTTAATAAATTGTGCGCTAACTTACGGTCAATTGTTCGTAACTTCTTTAGCCGACTGGGAGCGGGTTAGTAGTATAGTATATGAGGCTAATATGGACATCCGGTTAATATGGACACTTTCTTATAACTCAAAAACTACAACCTTATTTGCATAGATGGCTTTGTGATAAGATAGCTCTTTAATAGTTAATCAAATAATAAAGGGTGAAAAGGGTGCTGCTTTATCGACGCCATTTTGACAGTTGATATTATAGTAAACACTTTAGTCCAGTGGCGAAGCCTCCATACAAGCCCAGAAGCCCGGCTTGCCTTATCAAGCTGAATCAATCAATAATATCAAGTAATAAAATAACTCGTAAACTGTTTCAAACTATTTCAAATTTCCCGCACGCTATGTGCGACCTCGTAGCCTTAGGAATACTGCTGTCATACATACCTACAAGGAGAGTTGAATTGAGCCATTGGTTGTCTCCCTCGCACACATGGGCTTTTTACAGGGCTTTCGAGAAGGCGATCGCTCCCTTTCTAACCTGTGGCAAAATGTTCTATAATGAAACATAACTACGATTGTTTAAATAGCAATTAGTATGGAGATAAAAAGCCCGGCTTTTTAGGGACCATCAATTTTTTCCTCAGAGCGGGACTCCTTTAAAATTACTATAGTTTTAACACTTTTGACTGCCTTCTTGGTCTAATTGTCGTAAACGCAATTGCTGATCATGTGGTCCCAAGTTCGAAACCTGAGTCGGGTCAAGAATCATTTATTGGGTTTTTCTGTCACAAAATTCTCAGAGCAGTAGTATTACACTGGGGCAATATAATCCAGATGCGCAGATGGCTATTTTCCGTTGAGAATGGCCTTGTTACCAAAATTCAATCTGAAGCCCTTTAATATAGGTTTATAAATAAAACACAGGTAGTTGTTCGAATCTTTTAATGATCTAAAGTGAATTCTGAACATCAAATAAATACTAATTGGAAATAACGTACGTTATTTCATAATTTATTGTAGGTAGATTAATTAAAAATTGTCACTTCGTAACTTTAAATTCAAAAGAGCTTTTCAGAATAATCACGTAACTTTACAAGCCATGCTGGCAAACCTAGTACTTACAAGATGGCAGGGTGAAGGGGCTTTTGTTTGTCAAAGCGGGACATTTTTACGTATTTTTGGGACAGCGCGACACAAACCTTTAAATCGGGAACGTCCTGCCTAAAGGGGGACGTATGGTCACGTTAGGTATGAAGTTAGTCGAGACACGGAGGCGCGCGGGCGACGCCGACGATATGTTTGCAAGTTCACGTCACATTTCAATGTTTACATTGTGTGTTAGCTTGAGCGAATATATTATTATAATGTAAAATATTGTGAGTTGAAAATTTATACTTTTTTAAAGATTTTAGTGAAATGGAGGAAGAGTGTTCTTTGTGATGGAATATAAGTGTGTTAAAGTGCTAATCAGCGAGGAAAAGATAAAATCTTTAAAAATAAAATTTTAATTCAATAAACATTTCTTCACACTTTAATAGGTACAGGGCTCTTTAGTATTATAGTTTAATTATTCTAGGCGTATTTAAGGTTTAATAACTCAATACTTATATTACCATATGAGTTTAAAATATCATTTTGAACTGCAGCATAAAATATGAGATACCTATTAAGTTTAATTTTATAGCAAATAATTGTTACAATCTTTTTTTTAATGTGAAGTCCAAATTTTAATTTAATAAATTAAATGAATACATCATGTATTGAGGTTTTTAAAAAATATTTCCTTTAGTCTTCAGTATATAAAGTTTTAATAGCGCCATCTACTTAATTCTATAGGTGAAGTCATTTTATCGAACGAAAATTGATTGATTCTACGGCCATACAACCTATCTAGCGGTAGTATGCCTTCTGTGTGATTTGTTAAACACGTCCTCGACAGAACTGAATATGAAACTGAAGCGTGGAGACAGATCAAAATTGGTGTATTTTTATAAAACTGCTAAAAACACAAAACCATATCTTGGGCTTGCCCTAGTTTGGAGCCCTAGCTTCACCACTGCTTTAGTCGATTTTAGTATGGTGCAATGTAGTCATTTTTTTTAGTAGATTTTTCGAAGTGTTCCCAATATTATTGACACAGCTTGTTTGCTAATTTTTTTTCTCAATATATTAGTTATAGTATTCGACTTTGTGTTTTTGTCTCCGCCCTTCTCCTAGTTTTGGTTTTATAGGGCAGTAAAGCTTAAGGTGACCATATTACCTTCACGTACCTTACACATAGAAATGTTTGTTAACAACATTCCTTACTTATTCATCTCTCTAAAAATCTGTTACAGGTATAGATATGTATGTAACAAATGACCGAGTAATCCTGTTAGACTGTCAACCACTATGGTCACCGTCACTAATCGATGAATCCAACAATTTATCAATGAATCCGAGATGTGCAAATATAATGACAGTGGATTGCCTAGAAATTGCATCTTTCTTAATGTCTATATGCCATTTATTAATTGCAGTTCAGGATTGGTTTACAGATTATAATTTTATAAGGTAAATGCAATATGTACACATTCTGATTGTATTGTGATATGAGAGAGGAATGACAAAATGTTCTACATACACAGGTGCACTCTTTATTCCCTTGTTCTTATAGTCTAATGCTGCCCTACTAAGTGCAACAGCGGTATCTCAGTGAAAGCAAATATGAGATATTTGAATTTTCGTAAAGGTAGTTTTATTTATTTATATTTAATGATTTTGATTCTTATTAAATGGAATGTATATAATAATATTGACTATATTCTTAACTCTATAGTTGAAATATCAAAAGTTTATCAATATAATGGAATATGAAATATTAATGTCATATACTGCTATACCGCTAAGTAATTATATAATTAACTTTTCAGATACCGCTTTTTGGTTAGTTCTTTCCTTATATGTCAACTTCGTGTCTAACAAAATACATAAAGAATAAAACAACCCTACATCAATATAAGAAGTCATTTATTATTAAAATTTGTAATAATATAAAAAAAATGAATAAATTAAACGTATTCTATGAAATATACTTAAGTAGTTACCTAGTCAAATGTAGTCAGTTCTCTCCAAAATGACATTCTATTCTGAGATATAGTATTTTGCAGACTTCCAAATATTTTCTTTTTTGGATTTAGAAATGCCTACTGGGTCAGTTTTCCTTTTTGGTGGTGACAAAACGCCAGTGTTCAAAATTTTATTTCTCATTGACTTTATAAATACTCATTGACTTCAAGATTAATGCTTATAACTTTGTTTACTTGCTCTAAAGTCTCAACTAATTTGTCATGAACAGCATGTGCCATACTTAAATCATTTTTCGAAATATCAGACGTTTGAACTCCATTTTCATAAAAAGTTATTTCTATATTTTGGTCTGTATCGCATTCGGAAAAACAAGATCTGTTTGATCATTAATTACAGTCTCTGTAAACTGCGCTTCTGTAAAAGCACTATCTAATGATTTCTTATATTTACGCGAACACTACACATTGAAATAATACTAGTTTTTACAGAATTTATCGCGTGTATTTAACTTTTTAATTACCCGACGTTTCGAACGCTTTGCAGACTTCCAGGAGCGTCGATTCTTCACGTACAGTCTGTGAACACGTACAGGATCGCCCCCGTCACTACATCAGATTTGATAGACCGCAGATCCTCGCTAAAGAACACCGATTCCTTCCAAGGATGATTCGCGAGGCTATTGAAATCAAAAAAACATCCTAATTTCAATAGAGAAGATGGCTGGGTGCTACCATCTGCTTGGGATCCTATAATAAATAAAATTAAATCCCAACCCAAGCATACAACTGCAAGACTTCAAGATACCATAAGTTCATACTGCATAGATCGGAACAAAAGTTAAATTTTAATCTATGGTAACCGCGGTTAACTATGACATATGGACGTTGAACATCTCAGTCCTGCCCGTGACCATGAGTGCTGTAAAGCGTTTGAAACGTCGGGTAATTAAAAAGTTAAATACACGCGATAAATTCCGTAAAAACTAGTATTATTTCAGCACTATCTAAATTAAAAACATTTTTCCCTTCCTAAAATTTTTTTTTTGTTTTTTTACCAACAAAAAAATAGCTACTTCAAAAAAGGGTGGGTTTCTTGTTTGGGTGTTTTTTTTTTTTGTAGGCTGTTGTTTTATTTTTTTTTTCTTTTTTTTTTCACAATTAAATTTTTATATTTTTATCTGAATGTTTTAAAAGGCAACTATGTCAAATATAAAAAAAAACATACTAAATGTATGTTTAACAAAACTTATTAATATAACATTTAAATTACAAATATATTTATTTAAATTAGAATAAGAGTCGTTCATAAATGCTGGACACGCGGGAGTTAAAAATGGACGATTTTATTCCACTTTGACTTTGATGTGGAAACCTAAAAATAAAATAAAATAATAATGAGCAGAATTAAATATAAAAAATTTAGCCTAATTATGATAACTTATATGTTTCTACAAAAAAAAAATTGTGTATAATAATATATTCGTCCTATACTTAAGTACCTACAGAAATGTCGCATCTGAATAAATTAATTTCCTAATCTATATTACATGACACGAGATGGCGTCTTAGAAACAATTTGTTTTATTATTAATCTATAATACTTTTTTTACTGATTAAAGTATCTTATTAACCGATAAAAAGTTATTCCTTGGTATTTGCTAACATTACTTGAATAATTTGTGCAATATCTAAAAACACATCAAGGCATATGTTATCGAGATTTTTTTTAAATATAATTAATCAACACGTGTCAAGTCACTAGCGCCTAGCGAGTGAATGAGATTGAGTGACTGAGTATTACTTAGTCACTCACTAGGCGCTAGTGAGTAGTATTTCTAATATTCTTATACAATCGAAACGCACGCGTTCCGTAAACATATCAAAAGTGTTTACAGTTAGTAAATACAAGTTATTCGGGAAATAAAATTTAATAAAATGTAGTAATGCATTCACATAATTTTTAAATACTAGTCTCGTGGAGTAGCAAAAATATTTCAAATTCGCGTCATATATTATATGTACGCACTGCCAGCCACAGAAAAGTTTTTACATCGTCTTTGCAATCCTTTAGCCCTTTTAGGCCCAAATCCCCCCCCCCCATCAACATGGTAGCGGAATTAAATAATGATCGACTACCCCAGGAGGGTACCAGCACCCCTGGAGAATCCCTCGCTGAGCATCCACGACCATGTTTCTCCACTTCTGAGCGTGGGTGCTCAGGCTGCCCCGCGTATTCTGGGGGGGGGGGCAAAATTCCGCTCAAGACTACAACTGCTCGGGGCAAACGGAGCAACAAGACCAAGGCGACCCCTGCCACGCTGTCCGTGAATTTCTGCAATATCAGGGGACTTCACTCTAACCTAAACGCCGTCCACTACCATCTCGAGACGGCGAGGCCGGCTCTGCTCTTTCTGACCGAGACGCAGGTGTCCTCTCCGGCTGATGTCTCGTATCTCTCCTACCCGGGGTACAAACTGGAACACTCCTTTGTGCCTCGGGCTGGAGTTTGCGTTTACGTCAGAGAGGACATCTGCTCTCGACGCCTCGGCAGACTTGAAGGTTCGGACCTGTCCATCCTTTGGCTACGCGTAGACAGCGACGACCATCCGCGCGTCTACGGGTGCCTCTATAGGTCCCATAGCGGTAATGCCGAAACAGACCGACTATTCGACCACGTCCAAATGGCTGCAGATTCGTTGCTACAGCAGATCCCCTCCGCAGAGATCGTGATCCTCGGCGACTTTAACGCCCATCACGCCGAATGGCTTGGTTCACGTTTAACCGATCATGCGGGGAGATCTGTTCATGATTTTGCCTTGGCATATGGTCTGACACAACTGGTTACTTCGCCTACGCGGATTCCAGATGTGGAGGATCATGCACCTTCCCTGTTGGACCTTCTGCTGACCTCTCACCCGGACGGATATCAGATTTCCGTCGACGCCCCTTTAGGCTCCTCGGACCATTGTCTGGTCCGGAGTGTGGTGCCACTCACGCTGAAATCGCAGTTGCATTCTGCAGGCTGCCGCCGTGTTTGGCACTATAGGTCAGCCGATTGGGATGGGATGCGGTCTTTCTTTGCATCCTACCCTTGGGGGCGGGTTTGCTTCTCGCCGGATGATCCCAACGTTGTTGCGGACTCTGTTGCTGATGTGGTATACTTCAGGGTATGGAACTTTTATTCCTTCCTCTGTGGTGCCCATTGGAGGAAAGTCTCAGCCATGGTTTGGTCGCTCCTGTAAAATAGCATCATGCTATAAGCAGGAGTGCTACCAAGCCTGGGCTGATGCATCAGCGTCCCGGGATGTAAACACCAGCGCTCTAAAAAAGAAGTATAATTCCGCCTCTAGGTCCTTCAAAAGAGTCATTGCCAAGGCAAAGTCAGAGCACATAGGCAGAATTGGCGAGAAACTAGTTCACCTTCCTTCTGGAACCCGTGCATTCTGGTCTCTCGCCAAGGCTGTCCAGGGGAATTTCTGTCAGCCATCTCTTCCATCTCTGCACAGGGAGGACGACTCACTGGCCCATACCGCAAAGGAGAAAGCCGATCTTCTAGGCTCTTTCTTTGCGTCTAACTCGACTCTCGATGACGGGGGGAGTACTCCGCCGACTATCCCGCGGTGTGAGTGCTCCATGCCGGAAGTGCACTTCACACAGCGCTCGGTTCGCAAAGCACTCCTCTCCCTGGACATCCACAAGTCGAGTGGGCCTGACGGAATCCCCCAATTGTGCTGAGGACGTGTGCTCCAGAGTTGGCACCGGTTTTAACGCGTCTTTTCCGGTACTCCTACTCCCTAGGCGTAGTCCCAAAATCATGGAAGACGGCTTACGTCCACCCGATCCCTAAAAAAAGGCGACCGCTCTGACCCGTCCAACTACCGGCCAATCGCCATCACCTCCTTGTTCTCCAAAACAATGGAGTCCATTGTAAACTGCCAGCTCATGAGGTACCTTGAAGATCACCAGCTGATTAGTGACCGCCAATACGGTTTTCGCCGTGGTCGGTCAGCTGGTGATCTTCTGGTCTACCTAACTCACAGATGGGCGGAGGCAGTAGAGTTCAAGGGGGGAGGCATTGGCCGTTAGTTTGGACATTGCGAAGGCCTTCGATCGGGTTTGGCACAAAGCGCTTCTTTCGAAGCTTCCTTCCTATGGGCTTCCCGAGAAATTGTGCAATTGGATCACCTGCAGATCGGCGCATCAAGGTCGTTGTAGACGGTGCAAGCTCCGATTGCAAGCCTATTAATGCTGGTGTTCCACAGGGCTGTGTGCGTACCCGTAACATTCATTGCTATGCAGATGACAGCACTGGTGATGCTCTTTACACCGGCCGAGCCAATATTTCTCGGGAAAACGTCTCCGAGTGCCGGGACAAACTTGTGTCTGAAGTCGAGTCTCTGCTGGACAGAGTCTCGGATTGGGGGCGACTAAATCTAGTCCAGTTTAACCCCCAGAAGACACAAGTTTGCGCGTTAACCGCTAAAAGAACCCCTTTGTCGTATCCCCTCAGTTTCAAGGCATTCCCCTTGTTGCCTCAGCCAGTATCGGAATCCTTGGCGTCGACATATCGAGTGGCGTGCAGTTTCGTGGTCACTTGGAAGGGAAGGCCAAATTGGCCTCTAAAAAGCTTGGCGTGCTCAGCAGAGCGGGACAGTATTTCATGCCGGCACACCGCCTGCAACTTTACAAGGCGCAGATTCGGCCGCACATGGAATACTGTTCCCATCTCTGGGCTGGGGCTCCCCAGTACCAGCTTCTTCCACTTGACCGCATCCAGCGCAGAGCGGCTCAAATCGTCGACGACCGAGTGCTTTCCGATCGGCTCGATTCACTGGCGCTGCGAAGAGATGTTGCATCTCTTTGCGTATTTTATCGCATCTATCACGGGGAGTGCTCTGAGGAATTGTTCGGATTAATCCCAGCCGCCAAATTTCGTGAACGCACTACACGTCAAACGTCCCGATACCATCCACACCATCTGGATGCTTGGCGGTCCACCACTGTACGTTTCACAAGGAGTTTTTTTCCACGTACAACCTCTCTGTGGAATAGTTTACCACCGGCGATTTTTCCGGACCGATACGACCTGGGGACCTTCAAGAAAAGAGCTTACTCCTTTCTAAAGGGCCGGCAACGCACCCGCAATTCTCCTGGTGTTGCGGTTGATCATGGGCGGCGGTAGTCACTTAACATCAGGTGAGCCACATGCTCGTTTGCCCCTTCTTCTATAAAAAAAAAAACCTATTAATTTTAAACTAATTCCAAGGCTCGTTTTAATCAATTAAAAATCTAAAACATACTCAAAAACAAAGCTATGTATTGAAGCAAATACGTCTGCGACAAATCGTGCTCAAAAACTTAGTACAAGTTTCAATAAAAATAAATTTATGTTCAGTTGTTTAAAAAAGTTCATGTAAAATTATAATACAATATATAAACACAAAACTAAGCCACTAAACACTGTAATTCACAGGATTTTTATTAAATTTATACCAGAAAATCAAATATCACTTCATCGCAACGAAAACAAACAAGTAATGACATGAACTGTCAAAAGAAAAGCAAATTTCTGTAAAATGGAAAAGAAATCTGACCGTATTAATTAAAACATAAGAATATGGAGTGTAGAGGTAAGGAGAACAATCTCTCATAGGAGAATAGTTAAAAAAGTGTCCATCTGTAAGCAATAAATAAAAGTTCAAAAACTCTCCACAACAGCGCTGGAGTAGCTGCAGGAAACAGCTACATGAAATTAACTTAGCAGTTGTCGACGGTGTGAAGTGTGCTGCTAAACTACTCAGTAGCTCTTAAATCTAAAATAATTTTATTTAGTAAGTATAACCTCGAAAAAGTCGTCTATCCCACATTGAGCTATTATGTACTACGTACTAGAGGAGACACTGCATTCAGTTACTCTGTTCCACTCAACTGCGGTGCATACACCGCACTTTAATCAGTCACTCGCTAGGCGCTTGTAGAGTTGTCACGTGTTGTGTTGATTCAAAAAAAAATCTCTTGATAAAAATATGCCGTCTTGTGTACTTAGATATTGCACAAATATTTCAAGAAATGTCAGTAAAAACCAAGGAATTACTTTTCATCGGTTAATAAGATACTTAATCAATAAAAAAGTATTAAGTATAAATTAATAATAAAACAAATTATTCCTAAGACGCTATCTCGTATCATGGAATACAGATTATGAAATTAATATGTTCAGATGCGAGAGAGAGACATTTCTGTGGGTACTTAAGTATAGGACGAATATATTATTATACACATTTTTTTGTAGAAACATATTTAAGTTATTGTAATTAGGCTAAATTTTTCATGTTTAAATCTGCTTATTATTCTTTTATTTTATTTTTAGGTTTCCACTTCAAAGTCAAAGTGGAATAAATTCGTCCATTTTTAACTCTCGCGTGCCCAGCATTTATGAACGATTATTTACAGCATTTATGATTCTAATTTAAATAAATATATTTGTAATTTAAATTTTATGTTAGTAAGTTTTGTTAAACATACATTTAATATGTTTTTTTTATATTTGACATAGATACCTTTTAAAATATTCAGATAAAAATATTTAATTGTGATATAATATTATGTAATATTATATTAAATAAACAAATATAATATACAAAATAAATAACAAAATTTTAATATTGTTCTCGATATAATTTACCTATTTAACAATACAATCTACTATTACCTACGGATCATTCTACCTATGTTTATTCTATGATAAAAAAACCAAACGCGCGAACACAGAGTAGCGCACATTTTTTGTTTGAGATAGCTGTTCTAGTACGTAAGTACATATTAGTTCAATGTCTATTCCATTAATATTTTTCGGCGCGTTCTTTAAAATTTACTCTGTAGCTATAGTGGTGCCACCCTTATTTAACGGTTTTCTACGGACACTTTTTAATACACAGTCTGTACTCCTTACCTCTACACTCCTAACATAAGAAACAATTTGATTTGGCGGTGCAACCGTATCTCAATTGTTCAAATATACTAAGCGAAAGAGCATTAAGTCAGAATTCATTTCCCGCGTAAAACTTGCCGCTTATTGGTTTAGCAAAATTGCTGTTGTTTTTGAAGCTATTTGGCGGTATCTAAATATACGGCTGGTTGCCTTATATACCTTAGTAATTTAAGGTAAAACTTTCTTAGGGTTTTTTCATAAATTTTAAACAAGATACGGCTTACATGCTTAGTTCACTAGAAGCGTATTTGTTTATGCTATCCGTGACACAAAAATGAAATTTCACGATTTTTTGGAGATACGCCAACTTCCCGACTCAGAGCTGCTATTACTATCTTAACAGAAAAACCCAATAACTGAATTTGGCCTGACTGAGAATTCGTAACCGAGACCCTATGATCAGCAGTCGCGCTTGCAAACACTAAACTAACGAGACACACATAAATACTAAACAAATATATATGTAAATATTTCTAAGTCGTGTGAAAGTCTGCCGACACGCACTGAAGCAGCGCTGCGGACAATTCCTTGCTCTAAAAACAGTCTCTGAAATGAGAACCAGCTGTTGGACTTACAAAATAGGTCGTAACATATATGTTTCAATCTAGTTAAAATATTCCTCTAAAGCATGTGTACATTTTTCCGTATTTCTAAACCACTTGATAAATACCTCTAACTACTCTTTTTAGACACCGTAAAAATCTCTTAAATTATAATAAGAAATTATAAACAGTCAGTGTGTTATATTTGCTTACAAACCTCATGCCTTTTAATTTTTGATTTGGGGAAACAGGTAACAGTTGCAAGGTGTTAAGGTGATACCTCGAAAATTTGGTGGTTTTTGTATTTAAGATATTTTTTTTAAATTTTATAGACTACAAACCAAAATTTTGGTATATGAATTTTGACTATATGACCTTAGATTGCATAAAAGGAAAACACGATATCATGTCATTTTCTCGATAGAAAAAAATTGCAAAGTAGGCTCTAATTGTTTACATTTCTCCGTGACACCAGAATATTCCTACGAATAAGTTCATGAAGTTATTTTTAAAGCATAGTAAATAATCATATCTAAGTTCTCATAAACCAGTTTTTTAATCCATAACGAAGTTTTGTTAAAATAAATAAAAATGTTGTTTGGCGCTTACGTAGTTTTTTCCGAGCGCTTGCTCGGTTTGCCTATTTCATAATTTGCGTACTATGAAGTCATTGCATCACTTTCATTTTGACACTCCCTTAGTCGTCCGTTAGCTTCGCCGACAAAGGAATAAGCCACGCCCCCAAAACTTCGATTCATTTTCAAGGTATCCTCTTAAGCCAAGATATTACGACTGATGAGCTGGAATAGACTATTCTATCATAACTTACTAAAGTGTGTCTAGTTAATAGAAACACTTTTTGAATTAAATTCGAATATTATTGTAAACGCGTGCCGCACTGAGTTTTGTGGTGCCAGAGAAGGTGCTGGATTCCTGACTTTGTGTCACTTGTCACACCAAACTGATATCGCTTTTGTGGCACAATCTGTCACATTAATATTCACGGTGATATTTCGTTGGAGTTAACTACTCTCCAAAGCACCATACAGTCGACTGTAGGCTTGTTTTAGGCTTATAGATAGTCATGCTTTAGCGCCGGTCAGTTTTAAAATAGGCATTATATTGTAGTCCTCAGCATTTGATTCTACCAAAGATTAATATAGATGTCTATGGGCCACAGTATATCTACTTACAGGTGGAGTGTGTGCTTACAGGTGGAGTGTGTGTTTCTATAAAAAAATGTTTCTTTAACCTTAGTTTAGGCCGTAAATTTTACTTACAGTAATTGTGCTTAAAATTTTCTGTGCAATTTAAGACTAGCATTTTTTTAAAGTGAACATATCACTTAAGTCTTCAGCTATAAAAACATATTTCGCTCATTCAGATAGAAAGTTGCTTAAAAAATGTACAGTTCAATTATTTTAATTATAGGTATATACAAACAGCAGAAATGCTAAAACCAACATTATCAGCATCAAGCACGGTGACTGCAAATCCTGAAGGATCAGAGTCGTCATATTATGGAGAAGGTCATCCACATTTATTGCTGTTGCACAACCGCTGCCAGTTAGAAGATTTCACACCTGAGGCGATTAAGACTATGCAAGATTTTTACAGGTAAGGTTATTGGAGATATTACAAATATTGTAAATATATAAAACACTTAAACTGATCAAAAACGATTGGCTTAAGCATTTTTATTATTCATTCAATAAAGGCTATAAAAATTATCTGCTCCCCGTAGAGAATGCTACATAAGAAAAATATACTGTTGGCAATCGAGGTTTTTTTATTATTATCAGGAAGACGCTGCTGCCCATCTCCTGGTTTGTTCGTTCTGTTGCCTCTACGACATCCATGGGACGATATGAGATTCATTTATAGGAGAGGGGGCAAACGAGCATGCGGCTCACCTGATGGTAAGTGACTACAGCAGCCCATGAACAACTGCAACACCAGGGGAATTGCAGGTGCGTTGTCGGCCTTCCATCCGGCGTTGATCTAAGGAATAAAGTTTGGAAAGGAGAGGATGCTTTAGCAGGGATGGGAGATATGATAAGGATATAGAACGACGAGTGAGTGCGGGAAATAGAGTGAATGGGGCCTTGCACTATAAAGTGGTGAAGAGTCAAAATGTGTCGAAAAAGGCACGTATGGCAATTCACAATGCTGTGTTGGTCCCTACTTTAACGTATGGTAGTGAAAGTTGGGTGTGGCAGAAGAAGCACGAGAGTAGAATAAACGCAGTAGAAATGCGATCGTTAAGGAGTATGTTAGGGCTGAATCTGAATGACAGGGTAAGAAATTGTGTAATAAGAGAATAGTGTGGTCTGCAAGATGATGTTGTGACCAGGATTAAGAAAGGAATGCTTCGGTGGTTTGGTCATGTGGAAAGAATGAATGAGGAAAGAGTGACAAAGAAAATTTATGGTGCAGAAGTGAATGGCAGAGTCGGAAAGGGACGTCCTAGGCGAAAATTTATCGACCAAATTGGCGATTTATTGAAAACGGGCCAAATTAGAAGTACCCTTAACCGACGAGCATGTATGCGTAGGTGTATGGATGTGAAGGAGGCAAGAGAGGTGTGTCAGGATCGTGCCAAATGGAAGTCTGTAGTCTCTGCCTACCCCTCTGGGTGACAGGCGTGAGTGTTTATGTTTAGGATGCTTTAAATAACACGCCGCTTTGAACAAGAACCTATCTGTGATATATGGTATGTGTAGAAATATGGGGGGGAGGAGGGGCTCAATGCATTCAACTTGAAGAACGAGAATGGGAGTGGATTTCATGCCATTTCATTATATTATGCGTAGACATTTTGACAGAATTTTGTTCTTGGTATTAAGGGCCATTTTGCTACATGCCTCTAGTAAAAAGCAACCGTAATCAAAACGACTTCTAATTAGAGCATTGTATAAAAGTTTTTGGCGAGTAAGGGTGAGAAGTGAGAACCCCACCAAGAACTTGATAGAGATTGGATTACATTGAGTTTTTTTTCACATTTGGAAGTAATATATGATAGACAAGGAATTTCTGTCATTTTATTATCCAAAATAAATCAAAATTTCACTTGATTTTCAGTGGGAATTTGAATATTTTTAATATAAATAGACGCTTCTGGTATATACTTTCGTCTAGAGAAAACTACAGTACTGCATTTCAAAGGAGATGGTGATAAACCATGCTCCAACAGTCGCTTGTCGGTTCTTCTAGCTATATGGCCGGCCCATTGACACCTCAGCTTACTAATCCGTTGAACTATGTTGGTTGCTCTGGTTCTACTGTGGTTATCCTCGTTTTTAAGTCTATCATGCGAAGAAATTCCGAGCATAGCCCTCTCCATAGCTCGCTGAGCGACCTTCAGCTTGGAAGAGTGAAGGAGATCCATAGGTCATCACTAGCAACACACTGATTGTACAATCTCGTTTAGAGTTTTTTAGGTATGCCTGACGAGAAAGTGTCATACAAATAATCTCCCGAATGCTGTCCAGCCGAGTTGAATCTATCGATTGACCTTGGAAATTGAAGTTGGACTTACCTAGTCGGACTATTTGTACCAAGTATCCATACTTGTCAACAACTGCGAGCTCAGTGCTACCAATAACAGTTGGCATTGGTGTGACGTGGACGTTACACATAACCTTTGTTTTGACCGTGTTCATCTTAAGACCTATCTGTTGGGAGACACTTTTAAGGACAATACCTTAGTGCTTAGGTTCTCCAGCGATTCTGCCATAAGGACTATATCGCCGGCAAATCGAATATGAGTGATGTGCTCGCTATTGACGTTAATACCGTATCCCTTCCAGTCATACTGGACTAAGCTCTACTGCTTGAAAACTTCTTTCAATCCAGTGGTGAAGAGTTTTGGGAATATTATGTCACCCTGTCTTACACCTCTCTGCAGATGGATAGGTTTCGTACTCTGGTTCTGTAATCGGATAGCCATCGTAGCACTACTGTACAAACGCTTCAGCACTTCGATATTGACACTCAACTTGGCACCGCTGAAGGGATTGCAGCACTGTCCAAATTTCGACGAAATGAAAGGCTTTCTCATAGTCCACATACGCAAAACAAAGTGGCAGACTGTACTCGTCGGTCTTCTGTACAATTTGCCGAAGGGTTTGTATGTGGTCTATGGTGCTAAAGCCTTTTCGTAAATTGGCTAGTTCGGGAGGCTGGAAGTTCTTGAGTCTATTCGTAATGACTCTCGAAAACAGTACATAGACGGGGCTCTGAAGGAAAATTGTCTGTAAGTTATTAAACTACGTAACGTACGTAACATATTAAAATACGTAATTGAGTCCAAACTTCAAGATGGCTTACCAACATTGCCATAATATAATTGAAAAATACGAGGGTGGATTGAAAAGTACTCGGCCTAACACAGATCCATTCAATTCTAAAAATCAAATCTACCCACATTATTTAGTTCAGTTCAGACTAGTTCATTGTGTGAAGTTCGAAACGTGTGCGATAATTAGTTGTGATTTTATAAATTTATTAGCAAAGTAATCGGACATAATTTCCGCGAATGGAGCAAATCGAGCAGCGTGCCGTCATTAAGTACCTCCATAAGAAGGGGCTATCATCAAAAGCCATCCATGATGACATGGTCAGTACATTAGGCGATTGTGCTCTGTCATATTCATCCGTCAAAAAATGGATAGCAGAATTTAAGCGTGGTAGAGAGAGTGTGAAAGATGAACCCCGCTCTGGAAGGCCTTCCACGTCAACTACTGACGAAAATATTAAAAAAGTGCTTGATTTAATAATGGGAGACCGCAGATTAAAAAATTAGAGAGATAGCCGAGATTATAGGCATCTCTTATGAACGAACTCAAAACATCATTGTCAACGAGTTGGGTTTCCACAAGGTGTCTGCGAGCTGGGTTCCGCGACTGCTTTCAGTTGAACAAAAAAGGACGCGATTGACTATTTCACGCGACTGTTTGGAGTTATTTGAAGCCGATGCAGATGATTTTTTGAATCGTTTTGTTACTATTGACGAAACATGGGTTCATTACTGTACACCGGAAACAAAACAACAATCAAAACAGTGGAGAAGACCTGGTTCACCACCCCCTAAAAAGGCTAAGTCGATTTTGTCGGCAAATAAGGTGATGGCTTCAGTATTCTGGGACTCGAAAGGTGTGATTATGATTGATTATCTTGAAAGGGGTCAGACTATAAACTCTGATTACTACTGCACCTTACTACGTCATTTACGAGAGGAAATAAAAGAAAAACGTCGAGGAATGCTCAGAAGAAAAGTCCTGTTTCATCAAGATAACGCCCGTGTTCACACGTCAGTACAGTCAATGGCTGAAATTCACAACTGTGGCTTTGAACTGTTACCGCATCCGCCGTATTCACCTGATCTGGCACCATCAGACTTCTTTCTGTTCCCTAACCTAAAAAAGCACTTGGGAGGTCAAAGATTTTCGACAAACGACGAGGTCAAAGCAGCTGTAGACGCATATTTTGACTCTAAGGAAGAATCATTTTTTTTCAACGGTCTAAATGCTTGGAAGGGGAGGTGGCAAAAGTGTATTGAACTTGATGGTGATTATATAGAAAAATAAAAATATGACTGATTTAGTATGTGTTTATTTTCTTGGTTAGGCCGAGTACTTTTCAATCCACCCTCGTATAAAATAATGCTGAGGATTTTTTAACATCAGGCGTTAGTAATGCAAGTTGCGAGAGAATTTTTTTTTAAACTAAAGTTAAAAAATATCTGAGATCGACTGTGTCTCTACGTTGAAACTATCAATTTTAGCTACAAGAATAAGATACAAGAATTTCGAACATGACATACATTTTGATATTCATGATTGTGTAAAAGATGTTGCTTTGAAAAAAAAACACGAAAAGTACATTTCTAAAAATAAAAATCTCTTGTCTGCTCCTTAAGTATAACTATAACTAAGTATACTTTTTTGTAATACCTGTAAAGGTTGCTAAGTATTGAGCACTATGTATAACTTAAAATCCAGTTGTACATTAATTATGATTATTATTTATTGTTGTATGTACCTAGTGTTAAGTTAGTAATATGCCTTCTAAGTAATCTGACATTTTAAAAGATAAACATCCTGTGGTTTTCTTGCGCCATTTCTTTCTATATATGTATGTTCTTTCCGAATCAGTAGTAGTTTATATTGATTTTCAATAAGTTGTACGATGTGTGTTTAGGTTCGTTGAATAAAATGTTTAAACTTTAAATTAAAATAATTAAAAAATTTAAACTTATTAATTTTTTTTTAAAAAGTTGGGGGGAGGGGCGGTGAATTTCTGGTCGGCCCCGGGCGGCAAAAACCCGCGCTACGCCACTAGATATGCAATCTATATTACTGCGAATTACTATATGATCTGCATAGGAAATCCCTCTAGTAACTGATGGACCTTAGGGTCCAAAGGGTCAAGCTAGAAATTTTTATTAATCATTTTTAAGTTAGTGTAAGTTCTATATAATTCATGTTTAGTGAAAATGGTGGTTAATGGAAGTTTTATTGAAACATAAGTTGATAATATTGTTGCATGAATAAGTCAACTAGCGCCATCTAGTGTCAGGAACGAGAGCGAGGGGAGCATTGAGAAAATGACATCACAAATCACTCAACTGACAGCGCCTAGTCGAAACTCGAACGCTCGGTACCTTCCGCGTGTTTACTTGAACATTCTGGATATTTCTTTGCTAATTTAAATATATAGGCGCTGCAAGATGCGATGGAGGCAGTGTTGATTTGGGCGAAACAAGCGAAGCTTCGGAGTGGAATTAAGTGAATTAGTGTGTTTAAATTATTAGTGTTTTAACTTTAATTGTGTAAAGTAAATTAAAGTGTTAATTTAGGTAATTTTATCGGCAATTTTTATTGTCACGAACCTCAAGCTCGTAACAATTGGTGTCAGAAGTGGGATAAAATAATGCCGATTTTACCTAAGGAGGAAACGGAGGGTGTCCGTACCCGAAGTCAACGCCAACAGGAGACGGACCAGAGGAGATTTGGTGGTGCAACGCCGCAGATGTCTGAGGGCCAGCCGCCGGCCACGGAAGCCGGTCCGTCAGCAGCTTCTACGTCTGTGGCACCTGACTTAGGTGCTCTGATGGTGATGCTGCAGCAGCTGCGGGGCGGACAGGAGGAACAGGCCCGTCAGTTGAAAGAGCAGCAGGAGAAACAGGCCCGCCGACACGAGGAACAGGCCCGCCGACACGAGGAACAGGCCCGCCGACAGGAGGAACAGATGCTCCTCATGAAGGACCTTCACGCTACCTTCGGAAAGAGATAAAGGAGGTGAAGGATAGGGTTGCTCACCATGACAACCGCCTGTCGGAAGCTGAAAACCGAATCCAGAAAGCTGAAACCCGAATCGACCAAGTAAACAATCGGGTTGAAAACGTAATGGCTGACATGAAGAAATCACTGGACGAACTCAAACTTGGAGATGGAGCTACAGCTCCCGTAGTAGCTACAACACCTTCGCTACGTGGGTTCAAGGTGCCACCGTTCGATGGTACCTCTTCCTGGTCAGCCTACAAAATCCAGTTCGAGGCTGTTATGAAGGCGAATGGCTGGAATAAAAGTCAGGCCATGACTGCTCTCACACTAGGCCTGCGCGACCAGGCCTTAACAGTTCTGGAAGCTCTCGGCGAGGAAGTGACTTATGAGCAACTCCTTGAGGCATTGGAGGCGAGGTATGGCGACGCTCACCTGGAACACGTCTTTCGTGCGCAGCTTAAGGATCGCGTGCAGCGCATCAACGAAAACCTGCAGCAGTGGGCTCTAGAGGTGGAGAAGCTGGTGCGAAAGGCATACCGGTCTGTACCTGCGCTCATTGGAGGGAACCTGGTGCAGACATTCATCGACGGCATCCGCGACCTTGAAGTCAGAGCTGCTGTGAGACTCGGGCACCATGACACGCTTAAGAACGCCTTGGCCCATGCACTGGAGGTGGAAGCCGTGCGGCAGGATCATCGTTCCCATCACGTCAGGGAGGTTGCAGCAGCTACAGTCCGTGACCGCAGCAAAGGATACAGCCCTAGGTGCTATGGCTGTGGGGAAAAGGGCCATCTTCGATCCAGCTGCCCTAAACGAACCGTGGAAAGGAGAGTTGATCGATCTCGAGAGGGTAGTGCAGCTAACGGCACTGCCTGGCGGCGACAGGATCATCGTTCACCTCACGCTAGGGAGGTTACAGCAGTTACGGTTCGCGACCACAATAAAAGATACAGCCCGAGGTGCTATGGCTGTGGGGAAAGGGGCCATCTTCGGTCCAGCTGCCCTAAGCACACCCTAGGAAGGGAAGGTGAACGGTCTCAGAAAGGAAGTGCGGCTAACAGCACCGCCCAGCAGCAGCAGGAATACGACTTTACTATCAGACACTGCAGCGGGAAATCTCACGGCAACGCAGATGCATTGTCAAGAAGACCTTGTCCTGAAGATTGCAACCATTGTAGTAGGCAAGAGAGTAAGGAGGTGGTATCCGTGAGGATGCTCAGGACGGACCACCTCAGCAACGAATGGAAGGACAACCTACGACATGCACAGCAGGAAGATCCGGACATCAAGCCGATTCTGGGATGGATGAAGGCCCGTGCTACCAAGCCTAAGTGGAGGGACGTCTCAGTGATGAGTTCAACCACGAAAAGCTATTGGGCCCAATGAGACAGCTTGCTGATTCAGGATGGAGTCCTGTGCCGTGAATGGGACAATGGTCGAAGAGACAGCTGTCGTTTGCAAATGGTTGTCCCTAAAGCTAAAGTGCCGAATGTTCTACAGTTGTGCCATAATGGTCGTTCAAGAGTCCATCTGGGAGTTAAACGAACTCTACTGAAGGTCCGAGAACAGTTTTACTGGGTCCATTATCGTGACGATGTCGAGGATTGGTGTCGTACATGTACAAGTTGTGCGGCCGTGCGGGGACCTCGGACACGTAGTAGAGGAGCACCGAAATTGTACAATGTTGGTGCACCACGGGATAGGACAGCCCTTGACATTGCGGAGCCGTTACAGAAAGGCGCAAGAGGGACTCCTAAGATCGTCCATGTGAATCGCCTGGCGCGTTATTATGGGGCCGATAATGCTCGGGACGAGCATGTCTTAGGAGGGGGCAGTGTTGCATGAATAAGTCAACTAGCGCCATCTAGTGTCAGGAACGAGAGCGAGGGGAGCATTGAGAAAATGACATCACAAATCACTCAACTGACAGCGCCTAGTCGAAACTCGAACGCTCGGTACCTTCCGCGTGTTTACTTGAACATTCTGGATATTTCTTTGCTAATTTAAATATATAGGCGATGCAAGATGCGATGGAGGCAGTGTTGATTTGGGCGAAACAAGCGAAGCTTCGGAGTGGAATTAAGTGAATTAGTGTGTTTAAATTATTAGTGTTTTAACTTTAATTGTGTAAAGTAAATTAAAGTGTTAATTTAGGTAATTTTATCGGCAATTTTTATTGTCACGAACCTCAAGCTCGTAACAATATTTTCTAATAATCATGTTGTTTTCTTTTACAGGAAAGCTTTTCAAAGATCCAACTTGCAATTGAATTCTGGCATGTACATGTATAGTGATATCAACAAGAATGGTCTTCATTTAGATCAAGTATACAAAGATTGTGACGTGGAGAATGGTGGACCACCAATAAATTTGTTTCTTTTGCCTGAAATTTATAGCGATTTCGGTAAGAAATTATTTGTTATTTTTTTTTTTTCAAGTATATAGAAGGTATTTTTATAATTTTATATTGGAAACCTATAGATTGTAGTGTCTGATGATGAGATTATTCTCATAGAAGCTTGCCTCAAGATGTAGCCAATCTTGTCTGTGTCTCCCAAAGCATAATATGGTAATACAGTATGCGATGTGACAGTCGAGCGTGTGTCGACTGTCGCTAATTTCACTTGATCTCTGTGACGTAAACAGAACTCAAAGCCTATTGTCTTACAAGACTTACTTGACTTGTTTGCTGTCAGAAATCCCTTGCACTTTCTAAAACACAAATATTCCCACGGTCGCTAACAGTGAAGGATGATAGTGAGATTCATCATTTCATCGCACAGTTCTCGTGGATCCCTTTCTATGACAGCTTGGTACCGCCCACTATCAATAAGTTGACGGCAAATATGCATAGGCCTATTTGAAGGCATTATGAAACGTAACGTACACTAGACAAAAAAGACCCTATGGATCCGATCCAAATGGTGCAGTCATAAAGAATAAGGGTTTAACTATAAATAACTAAATTAATATTATTCAAAAGAAAAAACGAATTGATGACAACACCGAGAGTGATTCTTGCACCCAGTGAACCAGACTTGTGAACCCAGAAAACAGAAAGCATCTTGCCTGCTGACTGCAGGCATATTGCGGCCGACATATTTAACAATAATTGGATAGCCTTCTGGGAACAAATGGAAACGATGAGTCTGCTTCTTAACTCGATGAAAGCAGAACAAAATGCGCGCTTCTCATGGATTCTCACTCATATGTCTGAGATAAAAAACCAAATAAATGATATTAAAAAAGCTAACGCGTGGATTGAAAATTTTGTGGATTTTCTTGTAGAAAAGTAGGTATAACTGGAAAAATTCAGGAAAGAAATGATAGAGGATTCTAAAAGACAAGAAAGCAGAGTGAAAGACATCCTACAAAAAATAATCTATCTTGAGAAGTGCAACAAGACGTTAGAAGAGTGTGTGCACACGTTAATGAGACTTGTGCAAAAGGAGTTGGAGATGTAAATTGTGCTTACAAATGTGCAAAACGCGCGGTAATGTGGTTTGCTCCTCTAGTTTTGTATAACTCAATGGATACGGCAAATATGAGTAAATAAACAACTGCAACATGAACAAAATAATAAGGATTCTCTTTTTAGGAAATTGAAATCTTATCCAAATAGACTTTTGAGTACAATGTGCATAGAAATTATCCAAACAAGCTTATTAATAGTGCTAGGAATAATTACAGAAAGAGGTACCTAATACACTTTAAAGGGGATATGAAAAAAATATGGAGTACTGTAAATTCTTGGTTAGGGCGAAATAAATTATTTGTGGATAGTGTCATCGAAAAGTACATGTTAAAAACTAAAAGTAAATCAAATGTATGTGATGGATTTTGGTAGTACATGGTAATACATTTACCCGGGAGATAGAGGACATTAAAAATAAGCACATTTGTAAGAATTTGTTACTTGAACGGAAATCACGTGTATTTGAATGTGATGTTAGTTTTAAGTTTATAAAAATACTACTTGAGCATGTAATAAGTGATTAAAAAATGGACTGAATCAAGGCGCCGGGATTGGATGGTATTTGAATAAAGGATCTAAAAGAAATTAGGAATACAATTGCCACAGTATTTGCATTATATAAATCATTTTTTACATTTTATAAATCTAAGCATAAAAAGTTTATTTATCCAGAGTTGAAATTACCCATAATTAGGCCAATATATAAACAAGGTCTTCATACCGAATTTACAAATTATACGTTGGCTTATTATTTGTAAATTCGGTACAAATTATTCAAACTGTGTCTTCCTGTAAATACTTAAGAGTAAATGTAGTTTTAATCATTTTGGATGGAACATTCATGTAGATTCAGTACGTAACAAATTAAGATCAATTTACTGTTAGTTACAAAATGTAACGTTTATAATACCCAGAAGTATTATGTACGTACTTTATTATTCATTAGTTGATGCAGTAATATCTTATGGGTTAAGCGCATATGGTCTCACTTTTCCTGTTCACCTAAATAATTTTAAATATTTGCAAATGAGAATTCTAAAATAGTTAGTAGAAAAAAAACATAAACTCAATTAATAAAGTTTGTAGTAAACCCTTTAAATATATGGTATATACTGCTTGTAGAATTAAAAGTCAAAATGTCAATCTTAATCGAACAATATTGAATACAAACAGGAAAGAGAGTGTACATAACCAACACAACTAACTACATATCACCGTATATCACCTAAGCTGTATGTTCCAAATGTCAAAAATTATTATGGACGATGGAACGCCCGTACTTATTAATCAGCTACCTCATGATTTAGTAAAGAATATAAAGAGTAAAAACAACTTAAAAATACTCTGAAAAAGCATTACTTGTGTCTATGCCCATAATCGTATACCGGTTTAGTACTTCAATATTATTTAACTTCTTTTTACATTTTTTACTCTTTAGGTAGTTAATAGGTTTTATTTTATTTTATTTTTCCTTTTTTATGTTCTTTACATAAATAGTACATAAATATGTGTAGTGCTCTCGTGGCTGTTGGCGACGAACTGTGTTCACAGTTTGGCAGATTGTGATTGTAGCATGTATTATGTACTTAGAACTGGAAACAAATAAAAAAAATTTAAAAATTCGGTTAGGATGGGTCTTTTTATCTATACACAATATGAACTATGGTGTTGATATGATTTCAAATAACTCTATAGTTAACTGAATGTTGTAGTTAAAAATTAAAAATGTGGATGGTTTTAGAATGTAGTTACTTTTTCTAGTGGTAAAATTGTATATAATTATATAATTTTCTACTACTTACCTTCTACGTCTACTTACCGCTTGTAGAACCTTGTGTTTACAGGTGAAGTAAGAACGACTTCATCATCATCATCATCATTACAGCCCTTCACAAGTCCACTGCTGAACATAGGCCTCCCCCAAGTAATGCCACAAAGCACGGTCCTGAGCCACCTGCATCCATCGACTTCCTGCATATCTTACCAGGTCGTCACTCCATCTAGTGGGGGGGTCGCCCTACACTACGCCTACCAGTACGAGGCTGCCACTCGAGAACCTTTCTTCCCCATCGGTTATCGGTTCTTCGAGCTATATGGCCGGCCCATTGCCACTTCAGCTTACTAATCCGTTGGGCTATGTCGGTCACTCTGGTTCTACTGCGGATATCCTCATTTCTGAGTCTATCACGCAGAGAAACTCCGAGCATATCCCTCTCCATAGCTCGCTGAGCGACCTTGAGCGTCCTCATACGGCCAGCAGTGAAGGACCACGTCTCTGATCCGTAAGTCATCACTGGCAACACGCACTGGTTGTACACTTTAGTTTTCAGAGATTGAGGTATACCTGACGAGAAGATGTGTCGTAATTTCCCGAACGCTGCCCAGCCGAGTTGAATCCGTCGATTGACCTCTCGGTCGAAGTTGGACTTACCTAGTCGGACTATTTGTCCCAGGTAAACGTACTCGTCAACAACTTCGAGCATAGTGCTCCCCACAACTACCGGCATAGGTGTGACATGGACATTGAACATAATCTTTGTTTTGTCCATGTTCATCTTAAGACCTATCCGTTGGGAGACACCATTGAGGTCATTGAGCATAGTGCTGAAAAATATTTCGCCGCGCTTGAAGAACGACTTAATGTATGTTAATACAAATACTGTAAATACTAGGAATAAACACAAGGTAGTTGTACCAGTTACTCAATTCCAAAGAGTCAGTAATAAGCTTTTATTACGAAGTCTTAAAAAGTGTGCAGGACTTATCTATCAAAAAGATTAACATTGTGTGCCTTTCAACAAGGAGGAATACATTTTTAATGACTTGTCTCTTAAAATAATAACGAAATATTTTTCTTATCAGTCCATAGCAGTCCACTGCTGTACATGTGCCTCTTATTTTGATAAAGACAATGTTGCATAATCGCCGCGCTTGGCAGATGGATTGGCAATTAGTATCAATTTTTGCATCGCCGCTCACTTTCGCCTGGTTAAATAATAATATTAGTTATTGTCTAGTATTACATTTGCAATAAACATGAAATGTTTATACCGACCTTCTCAGAAATCAGAAGATTTGGCATTTCCCATAGATATTTATATATGTACTAGCGATCGGCCCCGGCTTCGCACGGGTGATTTCTGGATATCGACAATAGCGCCACCTACCGTCTCTAATCGTGAATATAAACCATAGAATACTATAATACATACATAATAGAACGGGGAAGTGGGCGGAGCCCAAGTAGTCACAAACAAGTCACTAACATGTTAATTCACGCCTATAAATGTCAACATAATCAATCGTTTCCAATTTTCGTGTCAAGCGTCGCTGCATGCAAATTATTTAAAAAATGGCAAATTGTATAATAATTACGTTTCGAAATAACACATGACATTAAATAAAGGAGACATATCCTACAACCAGAAAATCGAAACTATTTATATTTTGGGAATATTAGAAACAAAAATAAAGAAATATTGATGTGTCAAAAAATTTATCAAAAGTATATATAAAATGTGTAAATTCGCTCAGTCTGTCAACACAGTGAATCGGGTTTCTAGTAGTAATAATACGACGTAATTGCTTGTATCTGTGTTCCCGGCGACATCGATCCGCGTACAAAATAAGGTTGTCAGCCATTCTATTGTGTATTATATTATTCTATGATCCAAACCATTTAAAAAGATTATTATGGCAAAATTTTATACCTATAATAACGAGAGAAGTAAATAACGAGTGCTAAAGTTTTAAAATTTGCATTTTTTAACAATTTTGCGGGTAGTTTTCGTAAAATTCGTACTTAGGTGACCTCTACTCGGCGAAAGAAATATTCCTAACAAATTTAAAATCTCTAGACCATATGGTTTCAGAGATATCGTGATGAATCAATACATAGATGGAAATCTCTTATATATTATAAATATAGCAATACGATAAGCATTAGAAGCAAAGGGGCGATGAATTCACTTAGTGTCGCAAGTGTACATGCAATAATCAAATTAAAAATTGTTCAATAAAAAACAGAGAAAACAATTGTTTGACCGTTGACCACTGATTCACATGGCAAATTAAAAGTGTATATCAGATTACCGATACTAAAAACAAAGTTACATTTTTATTAAATAATCTTAATCCATTTTAGTATCGTTATCTGCGCAGGTGTTCATAGCGTCACATTGATTTCGTAATTTTGCATGGTCTATAAGTTTTTGTTTCTGTTTTAAAGTAAATTTTTCTTTATGTGTTTTTTTGTGAATAAAATGGTAAGCAACTATGCTTCAGCGGTTTTATAACCAAAATAACCATGAGTACTTATTTATATCTTTACAGATAAAAGAGAAATATATAGAGGTCATCCATCATTCGAAGAACTGGCAAAACGTCTTCGTTGGCTTGTTCTCGGAGTAAATAGGCATCAAATTACAAATGTGCCTAACCTGTCAGAGAAGGGTTGGTTTCAGTATTGCAGCAAGGCTTGGGAAACTATAAGGAAGTGCACATTCTTTATTGAATATGAAAGATTGTTACCTTGAAGATAACACGTTTATTTATAAAATTACGTAAATGTGTGACATTAGTGAACGAATATAAAATTCTGGAAAGTGATAAACATGGTAATGATTTAATAATTTATATAGACAATATCAAATGTGTAAGGTTTAACACCCAAATAAAAGCTTTTAAAACTGAACGCAATTGTTTGATTTTTTTCCCAAAGGATTTTTTACTGGTATACACTATCGATAAGAGGTTTACGACGTTGATCTGGTGGTTTGTAGGCGTGTTGGTATACGCTCGCTAGACGCCAGTGCTCCGGATAACCTGTGGCATTTGCGTCACGCCAAATACTAAACGGCGGTGCTAAAGTGGGTATTGTGTAGGATTTCTTTGTATACGGATGACGCATTTTTGGCATTTTAATACTTTTCGTGTCAGTCGAACTAATACTTTGAACGGAATTGGGATTCCCCGCTTTAAATGCGAATTTGTAATCCTCCTTTTGTTTTTGATCTTTGAATATCTTAACACCATTACACGAAATACAGTGTTTGTGTTTTATGTTATTCAACGAGTTATCTTTGGTGCGTTTCGATACAGACTCGGTCGGAGAACTCTGATGCAATTTGCCTTGGGCGAGCGGGGTTTTTTCATACGATTCCAGACTATTTCTATTGCGATTAATATCTAAATTGGATTTCTTTCCATTAACCGAGTTCCAAGCATCCTTTATGGATTGCAGCTGATCAGGTCTCTGGCTGTTGGAACTTCTGCTCGTTGCACTTAGAGTACCACATCCGTGTACACCGTCACATTTGTCATTTTTAGCTGATGTAGAACTTTTTCTACTTGAAGATATTGATTTAATATTGTTTCCATTAGAATTGTGTTGAGGGCAGTGTTGAACGTCGCATGTGTCTTTTCGTTTTTCTTTTGTCATATCTTTTTCAAAATAGGGTACCGGATGATGACCAACATCCTCGACTATTCGATTCTGGTTGAAAATAGGAAAAGTGTGACCGATTGTATTTTGGATTTCCTCCTTCGGTGTATGCACCATAGTGAAGACAGCTGGTGCTTTAGAGCCGTTGGAACCATCGATGTGTTTAGGTGGGTTTGGTTCTAATTTGGGATCATCAGGCCTAAAGTCCCAGCATATCGCAAGATCCATAAGCGACATGGGCTTTTTGTATTTTCCTCCTAAACCCAAAGCAGATGTTGACGGACGCTGTTTTTGTTCATCCGCCGTCTCAGTTTTTTTGGGGTCGCAAGTTTTAGGTCTATGAACGCGCATTTTGGTACAACTAGTAGGTCCCGATGCACCGTAGCCTTTCCACCCTATTGCATAAGGCTTAACAACTATATCAGAATCACGATGCTCTGCTACTTTAGTTAAATTGCGATATCCCAAAGTATCAGGCAAAGGTTGGTGTTCTAAATTTCCTACGTGCATTTTTTTCGCAAACTGAAAATTTTGTGATACATTTACGTAGGGAAGTTTTGGTGTTTCACTTTTTCTAACAAATTTCATAGTCTCGCTGTTTTGTTCATCGCACTTTGCGGTTTCCGCTATTTTCCTCCAAAACTTGTCAGTTTGATCTTCCTGTGGCCCGTGTATTTGTTCAATAGAATCTTTTAATAATAGATCATAACTTTCATGTCTATTCTGTACGTCGGTTAATGAACCAGGTACATATGGCCCATGACCATCGCCATCGATGGGCTCCTTCTGCTTCCTTATTTCCAACGGATCATCATTCTCTATATCTTTCGATTCGATGTCGTTATCGGTATTTTTTAAGTCGTTTAAATTACTGTTATTTAATTCTTTTATTTCTCTACAATCTTCAGTCTCCTTTCCGTACAGACATGTAAAATAGATTAAACACTTTTTAATTTACACATAACTACATCTTGAAATAATTAAATAATTATTTTTGAACTAATAAATATCTCTGGCAAACTGTTTATAACTAAATTATCACACTAACAGATAAATGACTGTATTTTTTAGTTTTAACAATTTCTTCGTATAGTTTCAATTTTGACTATTGATTTTGGATTCTCTTGTGATACGGACACTGCAAAGGCTGAAATGAATAACAAATAATAGATTAACAAAAGTCGAAACACTTAAATCTTTTACTCACTAAATTGCTCACAAGGATAATTGCGAACCACATCGGTGGGCTCATTAGCAATAATGGTAAATGTCTTTGTTCATAATCCGTTTTCAAAGACCAATTTTTTTTCTGTTAAATAGGAAGTAGACTGGGTGCGTCAAATTCAAATTCACGGTTATTATTATAAATTGGCAGTCCCATTCTAAGTCAAATTTTATCGGGAATTCTCTTAGTCGTCTTTTACGGCACCCGCAAATAAAATAAACTGATCTCGCATTTTAGGATAAGATACAGTAATATGTAATTTTTAGTAATTCAAAATAAAAAAAAAGAATCTAAGTCAGTAGGTGCGTAATATATTGTATCAACTGTCACCTAACTCATCCTTTATTGATTAAAGTAGTGAGTAAATTATTGAAAAAAAAATAAGTTTATTCATTTAATAATTATAATCATCAAAGTCCATTGCTGAACATATGCCTTCCCAAAAGTTGCCTTATAAGAGGGATATTTGCCAAACTTACAGTCCACCTGATGGTAACTGCCTACTGCAGTGCACGTATACCTACAGACAACTTCAAACAAAGAAAATTACAGATGCGTTGTCAGTTCTGAGGATTAAGATGGAATGGCTCAGAGCCTCTGATCAAACAGGCTCTATATACCCTTCATACCGGAACATAGTGTTATTTGTCGTCAGAAATAGGTAAGATGATGGTATCTACGCAGACGGACTCTTATGTAGAAAAGGATTCCTGTTTCCCACTACTTAGTAGCGAGTAGTATCACCTAGCTTGGCAAGCGGGTTGCCAACTGCAGTTTTTTTTATTTTCTATTGTAATAAGGATTACGTTGCTGCTCATCTGCTGATACGTTTCCTTCTAACGCCTCTTACGACACCCACTACACTCTGGGTGATAGACGTGAGTAACTTAACATAACATAAACATGTTATGTTATAATTCTTAATATGATTTTAATATAGCAAGCTAGAAGTTTTGTTTTAGATAGATGGTGTAATGTTTACAATTTGTAGTTCTTATGTATGTACGAATGTATTATTCTTAAGCTGGGGCAGGAGAATATTCCAACATTTAGGTAGTTGTATCACTTTAAATATTTATCGTGTTGAACCTAGGAGATGTTGGTGAATATTTTCCTAATGGACGCAATGTATATTTTAAAATCTAAAAATTTATAGTTTGTTATAAATAGTATTTTGTGCAATGTTTCTTTTTTTTCACATTACACTAAATCTGGTTAAAACTAGTCTGCAATGCATACTAATTATGTTAATAAATATGCATAACGCTAATAGTCCTTATGGTTTGGTACCTATTCTGCCATCAAACAGTAATACTGGGTGCATTACTGGTGCATGGCAGAATATTGCTACTGTATTACTGTTGCAAGTGTAACCTAATCAAGGATATATAAGCAATTACAGGCGTAGGCATTCCGTCGTTGCCCAAAGGGGGTGATAACACACTTAGACCCAATAATTTTTGTAGTTGATTGGTGAACTGTTACTGCATATGTCATTTCCCTGTATTACAAACACTCTTCTGATCCGTATCTAATGCTTATTAGCGATAATAGCCAATAACTAGTAATTTGTGTTTTTGTGTAATATATACCTAATATTAGGTAATTTAACTTCTATCTAATCCACTAACTCCTGATGCGTTTTTATATTTTCATTTAATTCCTTAATTAATTTATTACAAACAGGCGTTATTTTAGAGAAATTGATTACATTAAATATATTAAAAATTAATTAACTAACATACAAGAAATATTTTTTATTTCAAACTACGTAAGTATCTAAGTTTATGTTTATTATTCGCAAATTTTGATTTAAGGACTAAAGTTAGTAAATTCTATAGCCTATACGATACACCACTAGCTACAGTCCTCATGAGAGAGTCATGAAACTATTGGTCCGCCGCACCGCACTGCTACAGCTGTGCTTGCTGGCGGACTTCAAGTTCCCCAAATATATATTTGTCATATAATGCAGGTTTTTTCACGACGTTTTCCTTCATCGCCAAACATGTTGTAAGTCTGCGCTTACAACTACCATTAATTTTAATTATTATAATAACTTTTATTAGATTATTAATAAAACAAACTTTATGTTTTATTAACAAGTGGTAAAATTAAAAATTTTGTACAACCAACTTCAACACGACTGAATCAATGTATTCGAAATCAATTAAATACGCATTATTAAAGATAACTCTAAAACGACTTGACTAAATTTATATGGAACCACACTAGAAGCATCAGCTTTAAAATAATCGTCAAAATAGGTTCACCCAGAGAAAAGTTATGAGGTAATATACTATAGTTACAGTCTATATATACGTCCCACTGCTGGGCACAGGCCTCCCCTCATTTCTGAGAGGGTTTTAGGACAAGACAGTCTGCAGTTTGTGTATCCTGACGCGGCCCCAAATTACATCAGATTTGATGCACCACAAATCCTCGCGAAAGAACATTTTTTCCGATTCCTACCAAGGATGATACGTGAGGCTTTACGAAATTAAAAAACATCCTAATTTCAATGAGAGGAGACTACACCTGCTTGGTATCTATCAATAAAATTAAAACTAAACCCAATCATACCACTGCAAGACCTCAGGACATAGTCAGTTCATTTTGCATAGATCGGACCATAAACAATAATTAAAAAAGCTGAAGGTACTCCGGGTTTAACAATGACATCGGGACGTCAGTCATCTCAGTCCCCCGTGACCATGGGTGCTGGAAAGCGCCCGAAACGTCGGGAATTAAAAATAAAAAGTAAAAATAAACGCGATAAAATCCGTAAAAGTAGTTTTAATCTTCTTTTTGAAGTCGGTAAAAAGTTAGGTTTTTGTCGCTGTCAATCTATTTGAGTGTAAAGATAAATTTCAATCCTGATAATTATTTTAATAATACCTATATAATTTCGTCTAGTAAAACAATTATCTAAATATCGTGCAGGTGTGTTATCGTCCAACATACTTTTTTTATCAATGTTAATACAGCAACAGTGTCGCAAGTAATATAATCGCCAAATTGTTACAGATTCTTTTATATGTTTATTTTATGGCTATGATATAAAATCTCTATATATAAAAATCAATTGCTGTTCGTTATTTTTTTTTATATAGGAGATGGGGAAAACGAGCATACGGCTCACCTGATTTTAAGTGATTACTGCCGTCCATGAACAACTGCAACACCAGGGGGATTGCAGATGCGTTGCCAGCCTTTTAAAAAGGAGTAGGCTCTTTTAGGCTCTTTTCTTGAAGGTCATAAGTCGTATCGGTCCGGAAAAATCTCTGGTGGTAGTGGATTCCACAAGGAAGAAGTGCGAGGAAGAAAACTTTTTTAAATCGCACGGTGGTAGACCGCCAGTCATCCAGATGGTATGGATGGTATCGCGAGTTTTGTCGCGATGTGCGACGATGAAATTGTGCGGCTGGAATTAGTCCGAACAATTCCTCAGAGCACTCCCCGTGGTAGATGCGAATACGCAAAGAGATGCAACATCTCTTCGCAGTGCCAGTGAGTCAAGCCGATCGGAAAGAGCTCGGTCGGCGACGATTCGAACAGCTCTGCGCTGGATGCGATCAAATGTAAGGAGCTGGCACTGGGGAGCCCCAGCCCAGAGATGGGAACAGTATTCCACGTGCGGTCGAACCAGCGCCTTGTAAAGTAGCAGGCGGTGAGCCGGCATGAAATACTGTCCCGCTCTGCTGAGCACGCAAAGCTTTTTAGAGGCCAATTTGGCCTTCTCTTCCAAGTCACCACGAAGCTGAACGTCACTCGATATGTCAACGCCCAGGATTCCGATACTGGCTGAGGCAACAAGGGGAGTGCCTTGAAACTGAGGAGATACGACGAAGGGGATTTTTTTAGCGGTAAACGCGCAAACTTGTGTCTTCTGGGGATTAAACTGGACTAGATTTAGTCGCCCCAGTCCGAGGCTTTGTTCAACAAAGTTTGTTATAATAAAAATTGTTTTAAAAATGATCTTTGGTAATTATTTCAAATCCACGCACATTTATTACGCTATATCTAGATATTAACTCCGCATTAAAATATTTAACAATTTTACTAAATTCAAAAGTAAAGTCATAAAAAAATATCATTTTTATCACCAACACGAATAAAGTTTAAGAAAGCTTTATAATAGCAAGCAATTTTTAACTTACATGTTATCTGCTTTGTTTGAGTATCTTTATTGAAGACACAAGTTAATGTTCTACTACCAAGAACGCAATAACATATTCGCGCGGGAAAATTATCAACAGCCGCACAGTACGATGTAGACGACTTACTTTGAATGTTTGGAGGCTAGGCTAGGCTAGGCTTTTTCCAGGTCTTCTTTACTGACTGTGGAATGTTTTCCCCGACGCATGCGCGCTGAGCTCTCTCCGGTTACCTTGGGTCTTTGAATGCGTGGATGCAACCATTCTGAAAACCGGTTGTCGGGTGGCTCCTTTGCTAACTCCTCCGCTGTATGAAAACATTAGAAAAGTATAGAATAATTTAATGACTAACTTTTAATCTAGAAAATATGTGAAATGTAATCTTGTAGTCTGGTCGAAATAAAAACACTCAAATGTGAAAGGTTACATTAATACTCAGAGTTTGATGTGAACTTCGTGCAAAATTGTTATACGCAACCACGCAATACGGATACTAAAAAAGCTAAAGTACCTACTTGGTAACACGAAATCAACGCTACGAGGAATGAGAATGAGTAAAAACAATCGCGTGTCCGTGTTGACAAATATAATACGCAGTTTCACTACCCAGTTTGTCTACCCAGTTTGTGCGAATCAATAAAGTTGTAGGATTGTAAATTTATTTTTAGCACATGTCAGGGTGGTAGCTAAGCGCTCGCTGTAACTGTTCACAGTACGCGAGCAACCCGGGTTCGATACCCGCCGGTACCAAAAGTTAAAAGTTAAAGTTACAGCCTATATACGTCCCACTGCTGGGCACAGGCCTCCCCTCATTTCCGAGAGGGTTTTAGGGCAAGGAAGTGTCCGCCGCGCTGCCCCAATGCGTGTTGGCGAACTTCACATGTCTTCGAAATATTTTTTTTCTTATTTCTCAAACATGCAGGTTTTCTCATGATGTTTTCCTTCACCGCAGAGCACGTGGTAAATCAGCACTTAAAATTGCAATTAACAATTTCATTGGTGCCGGCGGGGATCGAACCCGGTTTGCTAGCGTACTGTGAAATTTACAGCGAGCGCTAACCATCTGAGCTACCACGGCTTCAAGGCGTCGGTACCAAGGAAATTGTTAATTGCAATTCAAGTGCTGGTTTACCACGTGCTCGGCGGTGAAGGTAAACATCGCAAAGAAACCTGCATGTCTGGGAAATATTTTTTTTTCCAAAAACATGTTAAGTTCGTAAACACGTATTGGGGCAGTGCAACAGACATTTCCTTGCCTTAAAACCTTCATAGAAATAAGAGGAGGTCACTGCCCGGCAGTGGGACGTAAAATTGCGAAACGGGTATATTTCGATTAGTTACGAACCTTGTTCAATCCGTCGTGTCTCACATGGTTAAAAAAAACTCTTATAACCACGCTTGTGACCGTATAGGTGACTGTATTACCTTGCAACTCATGCACCCTTAAAACTACCCATCGTCATTGGTCTGGTTACATATGATTGATTAATATTACCGATATATTTTAAAGGCAATAAGAAATTGGCACGGCCCATATTCAACTAGAGCTAGATTGATATATTCTTTTGCATTAACTCGCACATTGTGTTATATTTGGGCAAATTATAATCATTACAATCATGCAGTATAAATACTTGATTGGTAAACCCATGATGACAATAACTTTGATAATGTAATCTAAGCGACATTCCTCGAGTGTGACTAACTACTGTTTGTCCTTATTTAACTTTATCTACGATGATAGAGGTAGCGTTCATTTATTTAATTTACTTTTAATTTAATAAACAATATTTGAATCATAAACACTAAACAGACAAATATATTTTCAACATAAGCAATTAATATAATAAGTTAAAAATAAACGTTAAATTGCACCATCACACAATGTGATAGGAAAGCTATAATTAGAATAAATAAGAGGAAATAAAAAGCCTTGTAGCAGAACGATTTCTCTCCACGTTAGTTACGTTAAATGCTATAAAACCAATGCTGGCATGTGAAAGAAGAAAACGTTCATACGTCAAGAATACTCGGGTATAATTATGATAATGAACATAACTTTTGTGCACACATAAACAAAACTAAAACAAAGCAATGTGTAGTCTAAAAACTTGTAGGTATCTTCCTGGCAACTTTTTAAAACAGTTCTAAATATCAATTTTGTGATGCCGCCACATTAGTTTCTATTTAGATTGCTAGAATACACACTATTGAATGAAAAATAAATATGATCCATAAAAATAAAAACGAACCGACTTTTCTGTTTATTTTTCTCGGTAGATCCCATGTTCCAGTGTAGTGTCCAAAACATTTAGAAGTGCCCTTTGGAGCCCCTGGCAGGAAGTGTCCATTGATGTCACAAATTGGTTTCGGATTCGGCCGCATTTCAACAGGGCGTGGACGAGTTGGCGCCCAACGTGGAACCTCCCAGTTACCAAGTCTTTTTGGCATTGTTTCTTTATTAAACTGACAAAATCATTAAAAAAATTATAAAAAAATTAATATTAAAGTAAAATATAATTATAATTAAATATAAATATAATTGTCATTAATTGTAATTTTATATTACCTTCTTATCCCTATAAGATATAGGTTTAAAAGTGATCTTATATTTACAAAAATGTATAATATGAATTTTTTTGACCGTACATAATTATCTGATTTTTTTGTTACAAGCGGATAGTATGTATGATGGTTGAATATCTCAACTTTATACTCAAGCTCAAGTGGCAACCTCACCTACATGCGATATATCCTGCTGACTGAGGAAAGAGGCTACCAAAGAGCTATTATTTATTCTGTGACCTAAAGTCAACTGTAACTGTAAGATCAATATCAAATTCTTTATTTATTCATTAATTACAGCCCTTTACAAATCCACTGCTGAACGTAGGCCTTACCCCACAGAAATCTAAATAATTAGGCAATATTATTTAGATTTCTGTGCCTTTCCCGGAATACCACAAAGGCACCAAGCACTGGTTGTACATTGTACAATCTTGTTTTCTGGCTTAGGTATACCTGACGAGAAGATGTGTCGTAATCTCCCGAACGCTGCCCGGCTGAGTTGATTCCGTGGATTGACCTCTCGAACGAAGTTGGACTTACCTAGTCAGACTGTTCGTCCTAGGTAAATATACTCGTCGATTACTTTGAGCGTAGTGCTCCCAATAACTACCGGCATAGGTGTGACATGGACGTTAAGCGGAAATCGTTAATTTTCTTACGGTTTATAATTTGCAATTTGGTCCCCCTTTCTACCAAACTTAATGCAGATATTTAACTTAGGCTTTCAGCTCATAATATAGTCTGTTAAACCGAAGTAGAGTTTACTTTGTTTATAGTTTATGTTAATTTTGTTTTCTATTTTCAGTCCTGTTTCGGTCTTTTTAGTGCATTATTTTTTTATCTTTTTTGTGGTAGGTTTTTCGAATGTTTAAAATAATTTATTTTATTTTGACTTTTTAGTGTCCCGACACAGTCTTTTGAACTAAATTTCATATAATAGCACGAGGGCAAAAACATTTCAAACCATTTTATTGTTCTTAATTAAATTTAAACATATAATTTGTAATCCCCTTATAGTTTTGTTTTATTTTATACCCAACTCGATAATCTTAATTATTTTTTTTATTAACGTATTACTATTTCGCGCCAAAAATCCGCCTTTTTTCCAACAGCTATCTCAGAACACTTAGTTTTTTAAGACGAATATAACGATAATTTAACTGTTGAAATCCATTCAGCCGTTTGGAAGATACGAGGTAATAAAGAAATTTACAAACATACGTGTACATACATACGACTACAAGATACGCGCGAAAAACGTAACCCTTCCTTGGCAGTCGTGTAAAAATGCTTCTATTCTATTCATTAGTTAAGCGGATTAATAAGGCTGATAAGTAGTATTCTGTAATTTAGCTGAAGCTGAAGCTAAAGGTTTCATCATACGACCTTCAGAACATTGACAGAAAAAAAGACTGGAATTTTTTGAAAATTTAATCAGATTTTCACTATGCAATTACAACAAACGAGAATGGATCGGGGATGATATCACCATTATTTTCTGGTGAATTTGTCATGCACGCCAAACGCTCCGCCTCGCCGAATGCTTCCCACTGAGTTTTTACCCCAAGGGCTCATAGGAGAGCGTCCGGCGGGGCGTAAGACGTAGTGGCGCTTTCGGCATTGGTTTTTTGAGGTGCCTCCACTCAGGACACTGTAATACAATAATGAATTTGTCATTCACGTCAAACGGTCCGCCTCGCCGAACGCTCTCCACTGAGTTTTTACCACAGGAACTAATGGGAGAGCGCCCGGAGGGGCGTAAGACGTAGCGGCGCTTTCGCTCCATTTAGGACACTAACACAACAGTTAGTTTATCTTGTACGCCAAACGCTTCGCCCCGCAGAACGCTCTACACAAAGGCTTTACTCCAAGGAATGATGGGAGAGCGTCCGGCGTGGCGAGAGACGTAAGGGCACTTTCGACGTACATATTTTAAGGAGCCTCCACTCAAGACTCCAACAGTGTATATGTCATACACAAACACTCCGAATACTGCGTGCAACGAGCACGCTTATCTCGAAGTGTAGAAAACACTAACATATACCCGCCACGCGTGGGCAAGGTAAAATTTAGTCAGAGTTTCTTCAACATTGTCTCACCTTCGCCGAATATTAGCGCATAATTATAACTTTCACATAATATGCGGCTTCTCGGGAAAGGAGTTCCCCTATCCATATCCAATACAACAAAACAGTTTTAAGGTGATCGTAAAAAGTGTGAATGAAGGCTTATTACCTTTTAAATTCCTTGCTCAAGAAGCAAGGAATTTAAAAGGTAATAAGTTGTATTTTACAATCATTAAATAATTTTCCCAGTAATAAGTTATATCCTACATATCCCACTACTGGGCGCAGGCCTCCCATAATTTCCGTGAGAGCTTTAGGATAAAAAATAAAGAATACGAACCCTAATTTTTTCCATCAAAAGTTCCTTCATATTAGCTAAAACAATCAGCAACATTGAAAAATAGTCGATATTAAGAAAATTTTATAAGGAGTCAATTCAAGTAGAAAACAGACCTGTTTATGAGTGGGAGCTAAGGGAATTATTTTTTTTAAATTATTCTATAGAATAAGGGTGTTAATTAAAGTATAGTTATATAAAAATATGAATATCGCAAAACAATTTCATAAAAAAATAAAAACAATCGGCGATACGGTTACCCGTGGCACAGAATACATACCTAATACCTAGCCCGTTGTGAAAACGGATTTAAAAATATCCAAAGTAATTTGATGACGGAGGAGGCGCAGTAAACTATTGTAGGTACCATGGAGGAGCGTGTCTACGACTGGAAACACGTGTCGAAGTCATTGAAATGTCGATATGAATTTTACAATTGTGATGAAAACACCGGCGCCCTCAACGTCATTATTTATTATACAAATCTGTATGATTACTGTTTTCATTAAAAAAAAAAAAACAGTTGTTGATTAAATATTTCAAAGGTAATAATTTAAAGTCTTTTTTATTTCAAGTAACTGGTTCAAAATACCCTTGTATTTTGAACTCAGTTGGATATTATACTTACGAAAATATTCGACGAGTATCTTTTACGTGTTTTACAGAAACGGTTAAACCGACTTAAATGAACATTTTTTTCATTAATCAGCTAACATTTAGAAGTAGGTCGTATTAAACTTGAAGAAAAAGTTCTAAACCCCAAGAGTGGAAAATGATTGATGATTTTAATAACTTCTAATACTCCACTCCTTATTAAACTTTTTACAAAATGTAAAAACCAATTTAAAAACTTAAGTCTTCTTTGATACACTGCTTATCACATGTCTTAATAGTAATAAAGTGATTTCCACATAGTAGTTTTTCTTTCGCTTAGTATCATAGCGCACAAATTTATAATATTGTGATACCTTTAAGTATACCAGTGTGCAGAATTATTTTAACCACAGCAGAACTTCTGAGTATTATCGAAATCACCCGGGATATTAGTTGTCGCAAGTGTTAGAAGAGGAGTTATTTTCAGTAGTGAACTAGTGATGCAAATAATAAGGAAGATGAGGCATATACTCAAGCGCAGGCACTCCCTTCACATTCCTATACATACACGAGTTAACGTTTATGCGATGAGATACTTGGCATTTAGTTGCGATTCTGAGATGGAGATAATCGTAAAGAAAAACCCGATAAAACTTACTTATCATTTGAACAATTATACATAAAAATGTTGGTTTTGCCCGAATTCCCAAACCAATATATATAATAATAGATAATATCTCAGGATTTATAAGTAAAATACTCTGACCACCGAAGCACGCGATTAGTCGTTTCATTTATTTATAATGAAATATCGAAGTGAAAATTATAAAGTTACAGCCTATATACGTCACACTGCAGGGCACAGGCCTCCTCTCATTTCTGAGAGGGTTTTAGGGCATGGAAGTGTCCGCTACGCTGCGCCAATGCGTGTTTGCGAACTTCACATGTCTTCAAAATATTTTTTTTCTTATTCCTCAGACATACAGGTTTCCTCACGATGTTTTACTTCACCGCCGAGCACGTGGTAAATTAGCAATTAAAATTGCAATTAACATTTTCATTGATGAAAATATAATCAATATATATCAATGAAAAAATAAAGTAACAAGAGGAAAATGTAAAAAAATATTAATGGACAACAATTGCGCTAGACGTGCATTGAGCAGGTGTCAAACCCCCCGCCGACCTATTATGTATTAAATCATCCCTCGCTTAACAAAGGGTTGCAAATTATTATTTACACCATATATCACGCTCCTATTTGCCCAAATTTAAATGAGCGTTATAATTTAGAATTATGTTGTCAAACTCCTATTTGAAGAATTAAAGTTTTTTAGAAAGTATAATATTTGTATTGTATATACCTACCTATATTGAAATTATATTTTTAAATATTTTACATTAGATACAATATTTAGGGAGTATGAAATTCAAATCATTGAACCACTCGGATATCGAAAGAGATTATAATTAGAGATGAAACTGTTAGCTGCTTGGCTGGATACCGGACATTCGGCCAGTCTTATCGCCGGACAGCCGGACATCCGGTCGCCGGATATTCTGCCGAACATTTCCCGTTTGGTGCATCGTAAGAAGCGAAAAGTGAATTCAGTGCAAACTGTTCGCGATCGTGACCCTTATATTTGGAGGGCAGGTATTGCACTACACTATACCCAATTTATCAAAGTTTGCCAAAATCCATCTTTCAGCACCCTGCAGCAGTGGTACAGACCTAAACCACTTGTTACCTGTTGCGTGTGTTTCAATGCAGAGAAATTAGTATTTATTCACCATAATTTTACCTTAGCTAAGTAGTACTATTATTTATTCTGTGCCTTAGTACTAATTTTGTAAGTTTTAAAATGAAAATATTTGTGACTACTGAT